GATAACCTGAAAAGAAAAAAACATCTGGTGCGAACAAAAGTAGCAGCAGCAACAACAATAACAACCACCAGCACCACCATCACAACAATTATATATATATATATATATATATATATATATATATATATATATATATATATATATATTCAGAATTTAAAATATGAAATTTTTTATTTTAATTAAAAACCTTTTACTTCTTAATTGTTATTCGTAATATTAATAATGTTAATAATAGTAATAGTTTATTTATATTATATTCACATTATATTTATTTCCTAGCTTATTTTGCTTAAATTAATGTCAAACGTTAACGGTCAAATATATAAATCTATGTTTTTTTTTCAAATTAACCGCAATATGCACATGTATGTTAATTTACTCTTCCCCTTCCTTTTCTTTTATTCTTTACATAAGCTCTATATTTCCTTTCTTTCTCAACCTCCTACTTCCACTTCTGCTTTCTTATATCTTTACTTCTCTTTTTTCCCTTTATCTCGTTTCCTGTGAGATGACTTATCAAATAGCTCAATGTCTGATCCTGACCCCACTCCCTTACTCTTAAAATTCTTAATAAAATAGATTTAGAATTATTCCTATCTCCCCCTTACCTTTCTAATTTCGACCATGTCTGTCATATCCCTTCTCACCCTCTCTCTATATGACCTTACATCAACTTAAAGCTACCCCTCAAAAGTGTATAAAAATTACATGTAAATTTGAAACATTTTTTCACTCTTGGAAGTGCGGTCTGATGAACAAGGTAAAAACCAGATACCTGTGGAAATAAATTATAACCAATTGATCCTTAAGGTTGTCTTTTTATTTAAATTGAATTAATATATATATATATATATATATATATATATATATATATATATATATGATAAGATGAAAAACAAATAGGAAACATCTATCATTCTGTTTACTTTGATTAACGCTTCATCCGAGAATGCGATATGGAGAGAAAGAAGAATGAAACGACAATTATTGCCCATAAAAAGAACGTATAAATATAAAAAGAAAATGTCTTAAAATTATTGTCGGACTTAGTCCATTTCATAATATGTGACGTCATTTGTTTACATTTTGATACGCATCGAGCAGATATGAATGTACGCGAAAAAATTATGGAGATTTGTAGTTTAAAAACAGTAAAATCGACTTTCTTAACCGAAACACTCATCCGTGGCCCAATCGGTATGACAGCTCCGTATAGGATACAGGAGGACGCATATTTTCTTTGATAATTTCTCGTACATTCAGGTCGGTAAATGTTGTTAATACTGTTTATTATAATCAGAGCATTTATTTAAATATTTGTATCTATAAATAGAATGTATAAACATAAGAATATATATATATATATATATAACATACTCTCTACGCTACCGTCACATATCATATATATTAAATACAATCTCTACGCTACCGTCACATATCATATATATATATATATATATATATATATATATAACGTCATCCACAGACAGACTGTTTCGCAGCTCATCAGTGTGGCTAGACATACGGTTACCTCTAGCCAGGATCGAAATCCGACTGAATTGGTGTCAGTCGGAGATTCTAACCATTAAGCCGTCGGCGCACGGTAGGGATGAAAGTGAATTTTTTAGCGTATTTATTTTTACAAACACGCCCAGACAGTGACTCAATTCGCATCTGCGAATAGTCTCGCTATATATATTAAATATAAACTCTACGCTACAGTTACATATGAAATATATATATATGAACAGAAAATAATTGGGATCTACAGAGCAAATGCCATAACTTCTTCAGAGGATTGCTTATATAGCGCCCGGTATGTATAGGTCACTGTGGGATTATATATATATATATATATATATATATGTGTGTGTATGTGTGTGTGTGTGTGTGTGTGTGTGCTTGTGTACGTCTATTTTGGGGATTTGCCGTTGTGTGTGTATGTTACAGAATAGGCTCTTTTTATGCTTAATAATTGGTCACTTTCCCGAAACAAATCATCCTATTAAGATAAATGAATTGAACAGTCGTGGAGAGGGGCTACATAAGAAGAAGAAAATTGAAAGATTAGAATGGTATCACAGTTCAACGATTGACGCCTCAAAGAACCAACCCATTTCAGTCATTCTTATTTTATTTGGTTTTACTCCTTGTAACCTTTTCTTTTACAAGAACGAGGGGCCAAAGTATGGAACACTTGTGAGAGATCTTTTTGGAAGGATCATCATCGTCATTATGGCATCTTTAGTTAATATTTATCTATGGTTGAATGCTGAAAAGTTCAAAATGTCCCTGAAAAATTAAAACAAAATATCATCACCACCAACAGCAAGACTAATACAACAGAGATCTTTTTTTTAAAGTGAGACATAAGCCTCACCAGCCTTGATAAGCTATGTTCGGCGTCATCATTGTTGTATTCTTCACGACATGCTTGGTCGTATACCTCTTCATTACTTTTCTTCTTTCGATCATGGCTCTCCATAATTTCCTTCACTAATTTCGAGGCACCATATCGGTGCAGTTTTTTTTTTTTTTTTTCATTGCATTACTCTGGATCGCTTTATTCTTCGGCCTTTTTCGTCAAATTTAGGCGATTCAAATTCAACTCAGAAATTTAAAAAAATGTTTCTCCTCTCATCATCAGATTTTAAAAAGAAAAAAAAGAAAAAAAAAAGATTTTATTAAATTAATAGTGTTTTTCTCTTTTCTTATAGATGATACACCTGAGAAAGGCTGGAGAATGAGCCGGCTGAAACGTTGTGGTAGTGCTATCAAGAACTCCAAGAAATTTATTTGTCGAAGCATAATATGAAATGTCAGTATCTTTTCCCGGGGTTGTAGGCAACAGAAAATAATGTATTCATGAATAAATAATGAGAATGAATCCTCTTAGAAATCCGTACAAATCTATTTAATTTGAATCAAGTTTTTAAAATTGTATTCAATTTGTTTGTTCTTTGATCAATTTTTTTTATTAAATTTTCATCTATATTATTTTTCTAAATTAATCTTCCCTTTCTTTCTTTCTTTCTTTCTTTCTTTCTTCATTTTTTCCGTCTTTGCCACTTTTCTTTCTTTCTTTCTTTCTTTCTTTCTTTCTTTCTTTCTTTCAATTCATTAACTCCATTCTCTCGCTTAAGAATCTTCCTTTCTTTCTTTCTTTCTTTCTTTCTTTCTTTCTTTCTTTCTTTCTTTTATGCATTCATTGTTTCTTTTTGTAAATCGTTTTGGTTTTCTTTTACATCAATTTATATTCTTTTTTCTTTCTGTTTGTAAAATATTTTGGTTTTCCTTTTCATGAATTTTCTTTCTTTTTTTCTTTCTCTTTTTCTTTTTGGAAATCATTTTGGTTTTCCTTTTCATGAATTTTCTTTCTTTTTTTCTTTCTCTTTCTTTTCTGTGCATTCTTGCTTCGTTTTTAATCTCATCTTGTAAAACATTTTTTATTTGTTTTTCATGCTTTTCTTTTTACAAATCTGTTTTAATCATTTCACCCGAAGCAAGGAAATAAAGCCACTAAGACACAAGGGGTTACTGAGTGTGAATGAATAGGAAAAAGAGAAAACATTATTAAGGAAAAAGAACAATAAAAGAAGAAGAATCAAGTATGCATTAGTTAACGATTGACATTGCTTGAAATTTTTGAAGATCAAATTTGGCTGGAAATCAAGAATCTAAAAAAGAGTTCAACAAGTGAGAATTACGAAATAAGAAACTGTTAGGATGAATTAAAAGTATTATTAAGGAGCGAGAACAATTAAAGCAAATGAATCAAGGAAAGAATCTATAAAAATTGACATTCAAGATGAAAGTTGACTGGAACGCAAAAAGCTGGGAGAAAGTCTCCACAGGTGAGAAGTGTGAGAGAAGAAACTGTTAGCAAAGAACTTACGTTTATATCGAGCGAACTTAAATGTAAACTGATGAAACCTTGATGCCAAACTATTACTGTGCTTAAATTATATGAAGTCTAAGTACCATAGAAGAAAGTACATTTTGCTTTCCGTAAATAGGTTTGGACATCATTGATATGCTTTCTTTCTGTTTTTATTTGTGCAAATAGTTTTTCCTTTTTTTTCTATGCTTTCTTTCTTGTATTCTATCAATAGTTTCTTTCTTTCTTTCTGTAAATATCTTTGGCCTTCATTTCTATGCTTTTCTTCCTTCTTTCTTTTTTCCTTCTTTCTTTCTATCTTTCTTTCTGTAAATATCTTTGGCCTTCATTTCTATGCTTTTCTTCCTTCTTTCTTTCTTTCTTTCTTTCTTTCTTTCTTTCTGTAAATAGTGTTGTCCTTTGCTTTCTTTCTGACAGTAGTTTTGGCCTTCTTTTCTATGTTTCTCTATTTCTGTAATTCTTTGGCTTCTTTTCTATGCTTTCTTTTATTATGTAAAGAGTTTTGTCCTTTTCTATGCCTTTTCTGCCAATTGCTTTGAACTTCTTTCCTATCTTTCTTTCTTTCTTTCTTTTAGCCTATAATTTATTTCCTACTTCCTTATTTCTTTCTTTATTTCTTTCTGCAAATAGTTTTGGCCTCATTTTTTATGCTTTATTTTTTTCTTTCTAGTAACAGTTTTGACGTTTATTATATGTTTTCTTTCTTTCTGTAAGGAGCTATATTATTCTTTTCTATGCTTTCTTTCTTTCTTTCTTTCTTTCTTTCTTTCTTTCTTCTTTCTTTTATCTGTAAAGAGTTTTGGCCTTTTTTCTATGCTTTCTTTCCGTCAATTGTTTTGTTCTTCTTTTCTATGCTTTCTTTCTTTCTTTCTGTAAATCTTTGACCTTCTTTTCACTGCTTTGTACGTTTTTGTCTTTTTTTCTATAAATAGTTTTGGCTTTTTTCTATGCTTTCTTTCTCTCTTTCTTTCTTTCTTTCTTTCTTTCTTTCTTTCTTTCTTTCTTTCTTTGCTTCTTTCCTTCTGAAAATACCTTTGACCTTCATTTCTTTGCTATATTTTCTCTTTCTTTCTTTATGTAACTAGATGTTTCCCTCTTTTGTATGATTTTTTCTGTCAATAATTTTCTCCTTCTTTTCTTTGCTTTCTTTCTTTTTGTCAGTAGTTTTGGCCTTCTTTTCTATGTTTTCTGTTTTCTTTCTTTTAGTCTGCAAATAGCTTTGACCTTCATTTCTAGGATTTCTTTCTTACTTTCCTTTTGTGAATGGACCTCCTTTCTATGTTATCTTCCTTTCTTTAAATACCTTTACATTTCTGGAATACCTTTCTGTAAATAGTTTTGCCCTTTCTTTCTGTCAATAATTGTGGCCTTATTTTCTATGTTTTTTTTCTTTCTTTCTGTAAATAGTTTTGACCATCTTTTCTATACTTTCTTTCTATCTTTCTATGAGTAATTTTCATATTTTAATCTATATTTTCTTTCTTTGGCCTTTCTTTTTCCTTTCTTGGACTTTCTTTTCTATTCTTTCTTTCTTTCTGTAAATAGTTTTGTCCTGTCTATGATTTCTTTCTGTCGGCAGCGTTAGCTTTCTTTTCTATGCTTTATTCCCTTCTTTCTTTCTCTCTTTCTTGCTTTCTTTCTGCAAATGGTTTTGGATTTATTTTATATGCTTTCTTTCTATAAATAGCTTCTTCACTATGTTTTTTTCTTTCCATCAGTACTTTTGGTCTTTTCTTCTATGTTTTCTTTCTCTCTGTAATTCTTTGGCTTTCATTTCTATGTTTCTTTCTTTCTTTTTTCTTTCTTTTTGTAAATAATTTTGGCTTTTTTCTATGTTTCCATTCTTTCTTTCTGTCAGTTGTTTTGGACTTCTTTTCTACATTTTCTTTCTTTTTCTGCTAATAGTTTTGTCATTCTTTTCTATGCTTTCTTTCTTTCTTTCCTTCTTTCTTTCTTTCTTTCTTTCTTTATGTAAATTGTTTTGGACTTCTTTTCTATGCTTTTTTCCTTATTTCTTTCTTTATTTCATTATATATTTTTTTCTGCAAATAGTTTTGGTATTCTTTTCTCTTTTCTTTCTTTCTGTGAATAGATTTGGCCTTCTATTCTCGGCATTCTCTCTTTCTTTCTGTAAATGGCTGTAGCCTTTTTCACTATTCTTTCTTTCTTTTTGTCAGCAGATTTTGCCTTCTTTTCTATGTTGTCTTTGTCTAAATCTTTGGCCTTCTTTTCTGTGCTTTCTGTCTTTCTATCTGTCAGTAGATTTGGTCATAATTTCTCTGATTTCGTTTTTTCTCTCTTTCTGTAAATAGTTTTGCTCTTCTTTATATTTTCTTTTTTTTTTTCTGTAAACAGATTTCGCATTCTTTTCTGTGTTTTATTTTTTCTTTCTTTCTTTTTTCTATCAATAATTTTCTCCATCTTTTCTATGGTTTCTTTCTTTGTTTCTGTAATTAGTTTTTAGCCTTCTTTCTCGACTTTCTTTCTTTCTGAAAATAGTTTGGGCCTTTTCTTCTATGTTTTATTTTTTTCTTTCTTTCTTCATTTTTTTCTGTTAATAATTTTAGCCTTCTTTTCTTTCTTTCTTTCTTTCTTTCTTTCTTTCTTTCTTTCTTTCTTTCTGTCCGTTTGTAGTTTGACCATCATTTCTATGTTTTATTCTTTCTTTCTGTAAATAGCTTTTGTCTTCATTCTCGTTTTTTTTTCTGTAAATTATTTTGGCCTTCTCTTCTATGTTTAATTTTTTCTTTCTTTCTTTCTTTTTTTGTCAATAATTTTGGCCTTCTTTTCTATCCTTTCTTTCCTTCAGTCTGTCAATAGTTTTGACCTTCTTTTCTATGTTTTATTCTTTCATTCTGTAAATAGCTTTGCCATTCTTTCTTTCTTTCTTTCTTTCTTTCTTTCTGTAAATAGTTTTATCTTTCTTTATCTAATTTCTTTCTGTAAATAGTTTGACCTTTTTTCTATGTTTCCTTCCTTTCTTTTTCGCAAATAACTTTAGCTTTCTTTTCTATGCTTCCTTTCTGTAAATAGTTTTGGCCTTCTTCTTTGCGCTTTCTTTCTTTCTTTTCACTTCTCCTTTTGATACGACTATAGATTTTATAGGTATGCTTTATTTTGGCTATTATCTTTCATCCTTTAACCAATTCCTTAGTTTCTAATTCCTTAATTTCCTTTAACGACCGACCATATGAGGCGCCGTCAACCCCATCAGCCTGATTTCTGCCCGACCACTTCCAATCCAATCATAGATGCCGAGTAGAATCTATCGAGGCGTGAGACGTGTGTAAACTAAACTGAATTTTATTAACTGTATAACGCTTGTATCGTTCTGTAAGCGCTGTCCAATATGACCGCTTTTCTACATTTAGAAAACACGAGCAAGTTTCAGAATCGAACAATAAAAAAAGATAACGCAATTAGCTGTTTCTATTGAATAATTAACGAGGGCTTTGGCAGACTTAAATGTTCAGTAACTTGAACGGTCCAATGAGGAGGCTATCGACAGCTCACGCTGCTTTAAACGACTGATTCCACTCGGTTCTGAAGAGTAATTTAGGTGGCATTCGGACTTGATCCCGGGCAATGCGTTCCGATTAAGTCAGAAATATGAATAACGAACAAGGCAGATTTAAACCTTAATCATAGTTGTCGCTTGCTAGTGGTTTATTGCATTGCCGTGTGTCTATCTTCATTGACAATGGATACAGTAGCTATTTGCTAAAATTTATATTTCCAACTTCCGGTTAGGAGTAGCCATACTGAACGAAAGTCAGAATTGTGAACATTGTAAATGCTTATGCAGCGAATGGGGAATACCTCGCTTTCCAGAATCTATGAACGAGGTCTCTTCAAAAAGTATCAATTGCTGATAAGACGAGTGGATCGAACGATTACAAAAAGTTTTTGTCTATATACCACTGAAATTGATGCGCTAAATATAACATCAACCAGCTAAGTGGCAAATTTCAATATGTATATTAATCATATATATATATATATATATATATATATATATATATATATATATATATTTACACAAATGGACTCAACCAGTATATACATATACTACTGCTACGTGAAGACCCGAGAGACAAGACGAGAGGAACAGAGGTTGAAGGTAATAGACAGACAGACAGACAGAACGAACATAGCGATCAAGAGTTCCCGTGAGCAAGCACGTAGACTCAGTAAGAAGTCATACAGCGATACTTCAATACCAAAGACTGTATAAATATTTTGCTACTAACCCGTATTCCTGGAACTACTAACCTGCATTACCAGTTTGTATTATTACGTTAATACATTATTTTCCTATATTCATTCCTGGCGTTTGTTATTTATTGGTACCGGATTTCAACCGGAATCCACAACATATATATATATATATATATATATATATATATATATATATATATATATATATATATATAGTGACATGGGGAAGTAATTGCTAGCCTCTCGGATTGAGAAATCGGAGAGCCGAGTTCGAATTCCAGTCGAGTTCATTTCATTCACTTACGTGCTAATACATTTGGGTAAGGTAAAGATCTCCTATAAGCATTGGAGAAGGAAAAATTGCGTATTTGGTCATTGTTGCTTGTCTCTGAAAATATTGATAAATATAGAAAGTAAAAGTTGATAACCGTCCTTGGTCGTACGGCTTGATGAAGAGAATCCATAATACAAGGGATCCAGTTGAAAACAAAAACCTATATGAAGAAGAAGAAGAAGAAGAAGAAGAAGAAGAAGAAGAAGAAGAAGAAGAAAAGAAGAGAAACAGCAACAACAACAAGAATATGAAGAAGAAGAGGAACTGGAAGAAGAAGAAGAATAACAACAACAACGAGAACAAGAACAACAAGAACAAGAAAAACAAGAAGAAGAAGAATAACAACAACAACGAGAACAAGAACAACAAGAACAAGAAAAACAAGAAGAAGAAGAATAACAACAACAACGAGAACAAGAACAACAAGAACCTGGAAGGACAAGGCGTTGCATGGCAAATACATAAAAAGAACGAAGCAGATGTGGACCAACAGAAAACATATCAGCAGCTGAGGAGCACCCGGCTGAAAGCTGAGGCAGAAGGCCTAATTATTACAGCTCAGGACTAAAGCCTCGCAACCAGATCCTATCTCATAATCAAAGATGGAACTAAACCGAAATGCTGAATCTACGGAAAATATGATGAAACTATCGACCATACTAAGTCAAAATGTCCGAAACTAGTAAAAAATAAATAAACCCACAGACATAAGAAGGTAGAGACATATGTGCATTTGAAGATATGCAAGAAGCTCAAAATCGAAACCACTGAGAGATGGTATGAGAACCAACCAAACTCAGTTACCCAAAATAACGATGTAACTATCCTCTGGGACATGCCAATTCAAAATGACAAGGAAATAAAAGCCTGATATTATTATAACATGCAAGAAATATAACATGCAAGAAGTGTTTGCTTATTGATATAGCAGTACCATCTGAGAGAAACACCCCCATGAAAATTATCGAGAAATTGTGCAGCTGCAAGGAACTGAAGATCGAGATTAACAGGATGTGGGGAAAGAAGATTGAGACTGTAACAATAGTAATCGAAGCTCTGGGCCTCGTGAGAAAAAGAACGGGCGATTTTACTAACAGTATCCCAGGTAACATCAACATATAAGTTGCCAAGAAGATCGCCCTACTAGGAACATCCCATATACTAAGAAAAATATTATCAGTTAAGTGACAATTATCCGATAAGGCCGTCGGAGTTAACTCCTCCTTAATTGTCCAAATTGTTCACTAGGGATCGCTCTCCCTACATTATAAATACTGGGCGACTTATTGCCTCGATCTCTTTTTCATTTCTTCATTTTCAGTGAACACATCTACAATGTAAGCTCTCGCAGAAGACTGTGTCTCCCCATTTGTGGGAGACGCCATGAACATTATACACACATACACGTACGTACGAACATTCACCACAATACAAACTCTTTACCTTCACACACAAACACAGATGTAAAAGTCTATGTTCATTGTAAATTTTGTTGTTTGATACATATACTTGTTCATATATATATATATATAAATATATATATATATATATATATATATATATATATATATATATATATATATATATATATAGATCCGACAGTATGAAGAAAAATATACGGAAAAAACAAACAAAAATCCTTATATGCAATTATGCTGTTTTAATGTTAATATAATGTCAACGTCGGACGTTTCGGTCTAATAAACCATCTTCAGGACATATTCATAAAATATAATTAACATTATCAATTCAACATGACAAAGACGATGGACATAAGAATTGAATTGATAATGTTAATTATATTTTATGAATATGTCCTGAAGATGGTTTATTAGACCGAAACGTCCGACGTTGACATATTAACATTAAAACAGAATAATTGCATATAAGGGTTTTTATTTGTTTTTTCCGTATATTTTTCATATATATATATATATATATATATATATATATATATATATATTGGTCTTGTTGGTTTTCTTTACCCTTCTTTATGGTAGATTCAGTCTCTGGGTCCGCCATGTTCTAGTAGTGGAACTTCTTCTAGCAAGAATAAACGCACGTGTTCCTAATTTAATAATACGTAAATCCACGGTCCGCTATAAGGTTTAAAGACCATAGTTTGGAGTCAGCTCTACATAATACAAAACCGGAAGCATGACATGCCAAATAATAACAATAGGTATGGATTCCCCAAGGAATTCACACAGTTAATGATTTTCATCCCAATGTACCAACCTTGACCATGTCGTCATTCAAAGATCGCCTCTTTGAGGCATTGCACATATTATGAAGAAAGTCTTGTCTGGCTGAGGTCCTTGTTTTGACTTGACTAATAAATTAACGTACCCGGTGTCATCAAAAACTTATACTATGTGACAAAACTGAAGCATAGTAACAGAACAGCTTAAATATTATAAAAATCCTCCTCTGTATGTTCTAATAAAACAGCTGCAAGAAAAAAAAAAAATGGGTTGGTGCATAATTATCAGGCGTTTTTGTAGGCGAGTTATTTGTTAATAAAATTGCTGTTTTTCTTACTTTTTTTTTTTAAATAAAAATATTACTTTATTTTCAAGTTATAAATATGCGTATCGATAAGCATACGCTCCGGAATAATCATTTAAAAAAGTTATTGTTGAATTGTCATGTTTCTTTTTTCATAATGAATATTATCTAAAAAAAAAAAAACGCCTGATAATTATGCACCAGCACAATAACTCAAAATCTGGTTACATTTTATGGTTATTATGTTGCGCCAAACTAAGATGAATAAATACTGAAATATTCTTTGATAAAAAAAGTCATTTAAAACCAACAACGTTACTCTTTGAGACTGACTGATATTAATATTTTACATTTCATAATTATTTTAAGGTACAGGAGAGGTTTCGAATGGTGGTGGTCTGACTGTAAGATCCCGATTCGAATCTCACCATTTTGGTTAATTTGTCAACCTCACTTTGAGAATATCAGTCTGTGTAGATGATCACAGCTAGCGGCAACGTTGAGAAGTGCCTTAAAAGCAAACCGTCAGATGATTCAAGAGTTGTGAGCGAGAAAAAATTTGTAGACTGAACTGTTTAATTTGTTTGCTTTGTTTTATTTTACGTCATATTAACCTCAATGGGTTATTTAATGACAAAATTTTCATTGTTCGTAATATTTTTTCCCAAAATCTATTTCTAGTAATATATTTTCCTTCAAAAATCTATTTCTGGTAATAATTTTTCTGGTAATTTTTTTTCAAAAAATGTATAGCTGGTAATATTTTTTTCTTTTTTCAAAAATGCATTGCTGGTAATATTTTTTTTACAAATTATTTCTGGTATTAAAATCTATTTTTACACTTTCATAGTGTCTTGACCCGAGTTTGGGGGTTAACTATTTGCCCATAGCTGGGACCCTAACAGGTGCTACCACCCAGGGTCAGGTTGGACCTGGGAACACCAGCAATTAATAGGTGGTCCCACGCTCCTCAAAACCTCCTGATTGCTGTTGGACGTAGTATATTTTCTTACCCAGGACGCGATGTCGTCTATCGTCATACCCAGGACGGACTGAACTGTTTAACGTGGTTGTGCTAAGCGTGATGAACATAAGTCATCGTGATCGAAGGTGTCATCGTTCTAGTCCAAATGTTGATCATGTCAGATTATGCTTTCTCTCCAAGAAACTGCAACGCAGGTCCACTCAGCATAGCTGTAATATAAACAATTTTGGCGCTGAGGCTGTTGAAGAAACACAGATGTGCTCGATCCGGCGTCTGCAACAGGGATGAGTTAGCCACCTTAGCAGAGGTATATATTAGGATATGAGCTATCAGCCATAAACTATACAGGATTGCACACACACACACACACACACACATATATATATATATATATATATAACATAAACATGTATCTATGTATTATTTGTTGTTGCCAGACTGACTCACTGCAACTGGAAGTTAGTTTTTAGGAAGGTGGAAGTTGTTTTCTTCGACGCCATTATTAATGTAATTATGCCCGGCCAAATGCTTTTTGCTTAAAGTGACGCATGCGTATTTGCACCATACCCGTGAGATTGCGGTGGGATCAACTTGGGCTAGTCGAATAAATGAAATTATTAGAGTCTGCGCAAAAAAGACATGCACTATAATATACTATAATATAAAGATCCACCAATAAATGGTAATATATGTGTATGTTTGTGTGTGTGTGCGTGAGTGTGTCTGTGTGGGTGTTTGTATCTGGCATAATTATATAAATACTGATCTATATCAATATAAGTACGTATATCTATATTATCTGCGCACTTTCAAAATTATATGTATATTGATACATATTATTATACTTACGTAGATATATATATATATATATATATATATATATATATATATATACAGTGACATAATATAATTATATCCATATATGCATTATATATATATATATATATATATATATATATATATATATAAAATATTCTGCGTTTGTGTATATATTTACACTCACACACACACATATATACTGGGTGCGATGGGCAAATTGACGACATCTTATATTTTTAATGTCGCGCATGCGTGTTGTTTTTGATTTGGTCGACTGCAGAGAAGAGTAGGGTCAGTTGGGCACCGTCTGTGAGAAAAAGATCACCATGATACAATTCACTCTGCCAGAAATTTGGAAATGGCCTGCTGTACTGCTTGGTTTTCACACCGGAAGTTCTAATATGAACATTTCAGAGTGCTTGTGTGTCAATCTGAGGACAGTGCAGGGGATTCCAAAATCTAATGGTGAATGAGAAGCTTTCTGGAGTGGTCACTAGTGATGGCGACATTATGCCTCCATTCATCTTCCCACAGGACCGCACACTCAACACGGAGGCTTACATCCATTGCCTTGAGGAAGTAGTGCAACTCTGCGTCAAGAGGGTGGCCGTGGAACACCCAAAGTCTGGCACTGTGCCACACAAGCAGGAGAATATCGTCATGAATGTCAGAGAATTTCTGCAACCACATCACCCCTTATATCTGACCACCTAATTCCACAGACTGCAACCCCCTTGATTATTATATGTGGGGCGCAGTTGAACGAGAGACCAACAAATTTCCTTGTAACACCAAAGATGAACTGAAGGCAAGGATTATGGCAGCGTTCAACAACAAGAAAACCGTCCAGAAGAGTTGCAGGAAGCCGTGGTTGAAGCCAATGGTGATTTTATGGAATAATTTTACTTTTTAGGATTTCAAGATAGTTTTGTGTAATTTTGATAAATATATCTGTTAAAATGAGATATCAGTGTTATTGTCATTTCTCCGTAATTTAGGCAATAATTTATTCATTGCACCCTCTCTCTCTCTCTCTCTCTCTATATATATATATATATATATATATATATATATATATATATATATATAGACACACGCACTCTCTACAGACACACACACACACACACACACACACACACACACACACACACACACACACATATATATATATATATATATATATATATATATATATGACAATGGTTATGTTGGCTGAAACTAGTCGAGGAATCTAACTGAAATAATAAAAACGAAAAAATATTAATATACAACCCATTTTGTCTGAAGATTTTAATTTTTTAATATTTTTATTGTTCGAAACACACACACACATATATATATTTACTGGGCGTCTATTTCAAATACGAAGTGTACACTGCACATGCATATATATATATATATATATATATATATATATATATATATATATATATATATATATATTGAAATTGACTTTTTATTCGTCATTCTTTCTTATTGCTGTAAACGTTATTTTCTCTTGGGTACACGTATTTGTGTTGCTATCTTTGTTTGTTTCTTTTTTTTCTTAAAGAGTGTAATTAATAACAAACAACTTCGATTGAGAAGTCCTACTAAAGAAAGATTGTGCCTCCGACAGGAATCGAACCTGTGTCCCTTTTCCCATCAGGGAAACCGTTTTTACATATGAAACGTGCTTTTACCAATTCGTTAAATCAAACCCTGCTCTATCAACGCGCCCCCATGGCCGAATTGGTAAAAGCACATTTCGACGACTGATAACTTCTATTGGTCTGGGAACGTGATTATAGCCATTTTCTCCTCCTGACATAGCTTACAGTTTTGGGTTTTATTTTTGGTGGCTGATGCTCTTTTTCTTATTTACCATAATAATTTTGCTGTTAATATCCCATATATGTTTAGAAAGTGTTGTGCTGTTCCCGTATTTACTATTGGTAATGGATCTTTTATGTGTATAGCTTCTCTGTTCCTTCAGTTACTCCTATATATTTTTTTCGTGATAACGAAGACGAAAAACTCTAGAGGAGAAAATAGCTATAATAACCTTTCCGGAGGAACACAAGTTACAAAATAGATGATCAGAATTCATCTCAAAATGCAGACACGAAAACAAATTTTTACTACGTTACTTAAAATCGAAAACTAAAAAATACAATGTTGATAATGTAACATTATTTAGACAAAGCCAATACTTTAAACAAAACAAAAAATGTGCCCATGAAATTTCAATTGTCTCTTTCTGATTCTAAGTATGAGTGTTCTTTTGGCTTTCATTTTCCTTAAAACTTCGTTGTTGCTCACTTTTCAGCCCATGGGAATCTCAGCATCCTTCTGTAGAACCAAATTGCTGTTGCCTCAGGTTTTCTTCATTTTTATCTTCTTCACCTGTGAAGAGGTTGTCTAGTATTCACTTACATATATACAGTCCCGCACTCTTTGATTCTAATGACATTTTCCTGTTTCTTAAGACTTTGCTTAGCTTTTGGAAGGCATCTTTCGTTATTCCAATGCGGGTTCGGATTTCGGCGTCACTTTGCACGTCTTTGTTAAAACACTTTTGTATGCATATGTATGCATACTTTATCAATTTAATATATACAAACATAGAGATACATCAGTAATATCCACACATTGACCATCGAGTTCAAATCAACTGAAATCTAATTATCTTCTGACCTAGGAATTCCCAAAGGTTTATTTACGGTATCTCGTGAGACATAGGAGAAAACTTCGCAGAGCTCATTTCATTTATTCAGATACAACAAGTTGTGAGTCAATACAAGCATTTTGTATCAAAAGATAAGCTTACTGAGTCAATTTAATGTTTTGTTTTCTCTACAAAATTACAGTACTCTAAGTATGCAGTGTTTATTCTTAAATTTTCATATCGATTTAGACGGATTCGTACCTTTGACATTAGTTCATTATGAAGTGAATTAAATATACATCAGTTGGTTCATGTCGCTAAAAGTCAAACCTAGAAATTTATCTTCATTATCACTTTTACGCTATTGTTGACAAAATCAAAGGCCAAAGAGCCGTTCAAAGTAGAAAGTTACTAAATGAGGTTGTTTTATTGATGTAAGAAGAATTTTTTCTAAGCTCTATACTAAACATTAAATCTGTTACGAAAAAAGAACTAAAAATGAACACAAAACGATCAGCTTTAAAAAAGGACTTGTAACTGGAAAAACCGAATGAAAAAAGAATGTTAACAACAAATACTTTTTCACACCCAACCCAGTTCTGCGGTATCAGAATCAGCGTTGAGTTTAAGCAAGCGAATGAGCCAACTGGAGTAAAGTGCCATGCAGATTTAAAATTTTCCCACTTGTGACGAATGCAGCTATCGATATTTTTTGCATGCTAGCATGCTAGTTAACATTCGTGTCAGTCAGCTGTTGGTTCTCACGCTGGCCAATAGAATCTTCCTGCCTATTCGTGGCAGCCAGCTATAGGCTCTCACTCTGGTCAGTACAAAATGGACGCAAACTACATGAAAACTGCCGTAGAAACATGAAAAAAATCGATTATTTCCACGAGCGATATGAGTTGGGAAATGCAAGTTCGGTCTGGGCCTTTCCGCTAATTTGAAGCATGTGCATGTAAATTTTGGTGCAAATCCGTCGAAAATTGCGGCCGAGCATTCACACAACACACACACACACACACACACACACACACACACACACACATGTATATCCTGCATTATATATATATATATATATATATATATATATATATATATATATATATATATATATAATCTCTCTATTACAAAGATATGATAAAAATGCAGTTTTAATGCATACTGTATTTATAAGTTAAAGCGTTCGATATCAGAGACAAAACGTATGTAAATATAAAAGTGGACATTGAGGAAAACACACAGAGGCGACAGTCTGACACTTGGGTATTGACCTCAGTATCCACTTTTATATTTCTTATAATCTCTCCGTCCCTATATCTATCTATCTATCTATCTATCTAAGGTTATTCATATCTATCTTTCTATCGATCTATCTATCTATAGATTGTAAATATGTAAAACAATTTTGAAACACTTTTCCTCCGATATTTTTCGTTAATTAGCCGGATTTATCGGAATAAGAATTGTATTTCACTAGAATAAAATATCGAGACAAAAAGTAATTTTTTATACAATGATGTTCAAATCGTACAAAACCCAAGAGCTACCCGAGGTAGAGGGTTAGAGTTTATTCGAATACGCAGGAAGACAACGATCAACCCTACACTTGAAAAAGTTAAGATTGTAGTGATCGGGGAAGCATCCTATTGGGAATAGGTTCCACAATGGAATACGAAGGAAATGATGGTGGTACCCTACAATATGAGTGGCATAACGGATCTTAGCCGTGAAGATTAGATGTTGGTGAAACTAAGAAATGTAGTCTGTCCAAACACTTTCCATGGAAATAGCGATACAGCAGCGAGAGACTTTCGACCTTTCGTCAGTGAGAAAGGGGTTTGCAGGCTGGAAAATAATTTGTCACCCACAAGGATGCGGAAACACTTTTCGACTCTATCGTGACTATGAAGTGAAGACTCGGCAGCTTCTGCCTATATATGACAGCAAGATTCCATTTTCGGCCTGATCTGGCTCTTGTAAAGATGGAGGATAGCAGAAGGAGTTAGGTACAGGAAACCGACCATTTTGTTTCCAGCATCTTTAGCGACGGATCGTATGTACGACTTGTACTTGAGGTATGGGTGGAGTTTAAGGCCCAAGAGGCGCTCAATACACGGCGTCTCCATAAGAGAGACGTTAAGCGTCTGGTGACAGGATTTTATTTAACTGTATCATTATGCAAATTAGATTATAACTAATTTCGAAATTTTGTCATTTCTTATGGATTGAGTGTTAATTGAATAAGAAAAGGGGATATATTGAAACAAACTGGTTGTATAGAATATAGTCTAATGAGGGCTTTGCAGTCATAAGGCAGGCTTGGTTTTTATATTTACACTACTTTCTCTCTTTCTCTCTGTCTATCTATTTGTCGTTTATATAAATCACTTATATAATACGATAAAAGATTCCCTTTCTCTGTCGTGTGCTGATAGCTTATTGGTAGAGCCTCTGACTGATGACAAGTCAGTCGAGTTTCGATCCCCGCTTGATGCAATCGGATGTTTGGCTACAATGATGAGCTGGGAAACAGGCTTATATATATATATATATATATATATATATATATATATATATATATATATATATATACAGGGTACACTTCGTATTTGAAATAGACGCCCATTTTTTAAAATAATTATTAAACTGTGTGTATAGCGTCTATCGGTCCGTGTATTCAAGAAATCCTTGGAAAGAAAAAAAAATACTCCCCGACAGAGATCAAACCTGCGTCTCCCTCTGTATGGGAAAACATCGTCTGATACAAAAAATGACACGGGTTAGATTCCTACTGTAGAGCATGTTTTTCACTAGGATTTCTCGAATGCGCAGGTTGATAGACGAGATACAATATATTTTACAGGAATATGGGGCGTCTATTTCAAACACGAAGTTTCCACTATACTACCCTTTGAAGTATTAAAAATGTCTGATTAAAAATAAAAACCATTAACTTCACAGAAATACACACACACACACACACACACACATATATATATATATATATATATATATATATATTATACAAATACTACTGATCCATGTCAACTCAATAAGAAAGTCGATCCTGTTTACTATGGAAGAAGAAAATAATAATCAGCTGGCCTTCTTGGATGTGCTAATAACTCGTACAAAGAATGGGTTCAAAACATCCGCATATCACAAGTCAACCTTCAACGTACATTACCTTAACTTCAATTACCGCCATCCATACAGTGTGAAAAAAAGGGGATCGTTTCATGCCCACAACACCGAGCGACCCGGACAAATATCAACAATAAATGATCAACATCAAACGTACCCTTCAGAATAAGATCTACCCGGCAAATGTGACATTAGTTCTCTCAATTGGGAACAGAAGGAGGATGTCCCGAAAAAAGTGTATTTTACGTTAAGGGCTTATGGGAAAAGATTCAGAAAATCTGTAATCCAATAAATATCAGGACAATTTTTAAAAGAAGCTCCACTCTACGGAGAAATCTCTGCCGAGTAAAGCCTAACACAGGGAGAATATGACCAAGATTTGCGTGTACTCGATCCCTTGCATTTGTAGTAGAGAATATAAAAGCTAAACAAGGCTGGAGAAGCCTCGAAAAAGCCGTAGTGAGAGGTGATACAATGAAATCAGGCATGGCTGATCATATATGGAAGGAAATGGGTAATCATAAACCCCTATGGAATGAAGTAAAAATACCGGACAAAAAAAGAATGCTGGAGAGTTAGACGTCTGAAAGAATCAGCGCATATGCTCAGCTATAAGGATCCCTGTAGTAGGCCTAGCATAGAAACATAAAAGCCTGTAGCAGCAGTTAAAACATGATATCCAGCAGCAGTGACAGACTAATCAGTAACACTGTTAAGTTTAAAGCTCTAAGTTTACCCCCGGGAAATTGTTCTACAGGACCATGGCTATGGGTAAAATCGTTGTTTTTTGGAATTGGTGACATAAGAGTTGTACTCAGTGAAAACGGAAGTGTAACTGAACAGTACTAAATAAGAATTAGACTATATCCCTAAATATCTTCTCGATTACTGGAACTTGAACAGTCTATCGCCGTAATTTAAATAAATTGCTCAGTTCGGAATTCGCTGTGAATTATTCAGATCGATATTCACCTGAGGAAGACTGGGAGTTACAACAGCCGAAACGTTGTGATAAAAATAACAAAGATGGGGACAATATTCCGAATATAAATAGTGTAAATGGTAAATATTAACTACGGAAAATGATTATAAAACTTTGTAGATCGTATTTGTAAAAGAAATGATGCTTTATAATTTTTAAGTCATACCTAAACCCATGTCCGGCTGCTGTCGGCTTAAACCGAAGTCTTCATTTTCACTTTATTGAGGTCGTTTTACTTAAACGTCGTATTTTATTAATTTCAGACTCAAACTTTGAGATTCTCTTGTTTCGCCTTTCAAAAATTATAAATATATATGTATATTTTAATTTCATATCCCTCCAGGACATAGACGATCATGACTCTCCACTACTTTTCTTTATTATATGTGAATTTCCATGCATTCTTTTTTTTAACACTATTCTTTACGCAATACAAAGCACAAGAGACAGTCAATGCAGAGGGTTAATAAATAAATTTATTTTATGGAAGGAAGGAGGCGTAATGGATAGCGGCTCGGGTTGAGGAATCGGAGAGTCGAGTTCGAATTCCAGTCAAATCCATTACATTGACTTACATTGGGAAAGATATGAGTCCTCTTCTTCTCCCCAAAGCTATGGGTAAATATCAGGACAGACCAGGTTCTATAGCCTTGGATGGCAACTGGTTTACTTCAGAAAGAAATGATAACCTACTGCAGGAAAAATTCTGATTTGGTCGAATCAAGGAATTTACATAGTCAGAAAAAAAATCCATGAAAATCGCTGGAGAGTAGACGACAAGCTTGCGACATTACGTCCCTGGGAAAAGAGGTTGTAGGAGGAGGTAGATTTTTTCGTTGCCTTTTCCACGAATTGTAATTCAGATTTTTCCTTTTAGATTAGTTTCCATCCAAAGCCTAGAGACTCCTGTTATTTAAACCATAACTGGTGGGTGGATGGGTGTGTGTGTGTGTGTGTGTGTGTGTGTGTGTGTGTGTGTGTGTGTGTGTGTGTGTGTGTGTGTGGTAAAAAAGTCGGATTCATGTCTTTCTCAAGGACATTTTTTTTTTAAATTGAACATAACTCACCTATTCCAAATTCCGATACTATTCGCACATCAAATTATAGATCAGTGGATCTTAACTTCTTTTTTTTACCGTTCTTTTTTTGTGGACCTCCATAACCATACCATGAAAAAACAAAACCTTAACTTATTTTTTACTAATAGATAATTTAAGCATAGTATTATATTCAGCATCTATCTATATTTCTGAGATGAGGTATTATGTACACTACTTACATCACCCGGATTATTGTCCTCATCTTTGTTGCCATATTTATTACAACGTTTCGGCCGTTGTACGCCCCGGCTTTCTTCAGGACTCATGACAGAGTGAATAAAGGCGTTAGTCAGATCCAGTGACAAAACGCAAAGACTTTGAGTTCAATACCTGGTTAAGGCGGTGGAGAACTTGGAGAGGGGAATTAACAGGAGATAACTGATAACTGACATCCATTAGACATGACACGTGGAACTAGAACAGTCTACCCCAGTGAGCGAAATAAAGGGTTCAGTTCGACAGTACAACCACCTGAAGAAGGCCGGAGCGTACAACGGCCGAAACGTTGTAATAAATATGGCAACAAAGATGAAGACAATAGGCCGAATAATGTAAATATTGTATTATATTATTGTAAATGTATATGCTTTATTTTGAAGTGAATCTCATTTAATATGGACGCTAACTTACATCCCTTGATATCGTTTTCTGCTTGTTTTAGAGTTGTTTTTCTATTTTAGTATTTTAAAATGGCGTGGATTACTGTAGAAATTCCAACTGTCCCAAAGAGGAATTGCTCTATAGACCACTAAAATATTACCGTGGACTCCCCAATTTACTGTTTTTGTGTGGACCTCCAGTAATGTTACATAGACCCAGGCTCCATATGGACCTCGTTGATAACTACTTGTTTAGATATATAAAAAAAAAAAGAATAAAAAATGAACATGAGAGACTTGCTTTGAATTTGAACTAGGCTCGTCGATTCCAAGTTCCGATATAGTTTATACTATCCGCACATCCCATTATAGTTTAGACATATGAGAAAAAAAAAGAAAAGGTGTCAGTTTAAACTGTCACCAGGAAGATATGGGTTTAAATAGAACCTTATGAAGACAGTTGAGTGAACTAGTAAGTGACTCTGGACTCAGTCCATTCGTCATCATATATTTATTCTCCTCTTACTGGGTTCTCTTCTAATGAATGCTTACCCGGTTTCCTATGGCCAATAATCTCTATTGATTTGTTTAAATACTAGCTAAGTGCATAAATAATACCATTTTGAAAGTTCTGGCATTTAAAAGTCTGATGTTTCGAGGCCCTGTGCTGTTATTCGACGTCATATTTAGGGAAAGGCATTTGCTAGTTTTTCTTCGGTGAATACAGGTAATTAGAAACGGATGCAAAACATCGTTCGACAGCACAACTCTACTAATTGACAATAAACCTGATTATTGTTAAGAATTTGTGTCTTTTTCATGGAAGCCAGTTACCGCCATTTTCTGCTAAAACATCTTTTCAATATCTTAAGATATTAGTTACGTTATATATTTCTTTTTTTTTTTTTTTTTTTTTGGCAAGGAGAAATGTGCGGCCAAGAAAGATACAATTTCATCGCTGCTTCGATTCGATAATTCGCTCTGAAAGGTCCTTTTCTATGTCATTGTCTCACACATCATATCACCCCCATCCTTCTTCTTTTATGTGCCGTTTCCCATCAGGACGTAGGCGATCATGGCCCTCCACATCTTCCCGTCCCTTGTAGAGCTTAATATGTTTTACCTATTTTTTTGTTCTTTCTCCCTCAAGTATGTTTCGCGCTGCATTTTTCTGTCCATCTTTTACTCAATCTGCCCTGTGAGTATCAGATTTTCCAAGCCTCTTCTTCCTCATTACGTGTCACAAAAATTTCAACTGCCTCTTCCTGATGTTAAGTATAGGTTTACTTTTTGTTTCCATTTTCTCCAAAACCTCCTCGTTGCTCACGTGCTTGGTCCATAGTATCCTCAGCATCCTTCTGTAGATCCACATTTCTTTTGCTTCAAGTCTCCTCTTCATCTTTGAGGAGATTATCCAGTATTTGCTGCTATAAACGGAGACGGCCATCACGTAGCAGTTCAGTACTCTTTTCTTTGCTTCTAACGAAATTTTCCTGTCCCTTAATAATCTGCTTAGCTTTATGAATGTATTTAGCTATTCCGATACGTCCCAGTGTCGTACTTTCTATCCTCTGTTACAACACTTCTCAGATATTTAAATTTTTGTATTTGTTTAGATAATTTGCAACGGTAGCTGAAAAATACTAAGTTGGTCAAAATGTTCCTTCTCTATTTCTCATGGCGCTAGAAGCGTTTAGCATTGACTTTCTTTATTAAAAAAAAAACGCTTTTAATTATATCGCAATTAACGTATCAGTGAGATTAATGGAACGTATAAAGGCACGGAAAGTGGATTCTGCGATCCGTGTTCAAATTCTAGTCTAGTCTCTAGCGTTTACTTTCACAGAAATGCCTTTGGTATAAGTATGAATGCGTCTTTCTAGTGTTCAGCTATGAGCAGGGTAGACTGAAGTCTCTTCGCTGGCTACCAATATAAGAGAAGTAAAACCTTGAAATTCAAACCGTGGAAAAAGTCATGAAAAATTACTCTACTATCTTTCTAAAGTGTGCATAGGATAATAAAGAATCTGTGGAGAAATAATCCCGTAATCTCTCCATGGATCATGCCATTAGAAAAAATGCTTTTTTACTTTAATAAAATGTAGAAATATAGCACAAAATATAAAAAAAATAATATAAAATGTAAAAATAATAAATTTATGGAGAAGGTTCTGTGTAAGATCTAACCTGTCAAAAGTGGTTTGTAAAGTTTCGTGTTCATGATTTGTCGCTGAGCGTTACTTCACGATTAGGCAAGCGAGATGAGAATCCTTCTTTTAGGTTGATTCAGGACGTGAGCGATCATTACTGTCCACAAGTTTTTATCTCTTATAGATCTAAGCAACGTTTGTTCCCTTATTCTCCCTCCAGGTCCCTGTTCTGCTATCTGTAGTATTATGCTGAGATATGCATGGCACTTAATTTCATACCAGACTAAAGAAACCAGGTACAGGTTTGACCACAGATGAACATGCGATTCACTCGTTGTTACTGGTGATCCTAGTGGTGAACTCCCGTGCGATTAACTGCAGTTTATATGTGCTCGCATGAGAAAAAAAAGGTGCACAGATGGATATATAAATAATTACCTCAGAGAGCAGTTTGGTAGACTTTCAGACATCGCAGACAGACTGTTAGAACCATGGATAGAATGAGGACGTGGGACGTGGGACGTGGGACCCCCCTCCCCCGCCACTCCACACACTGGCAGAGAGTAAATGACAATATCAATATCTGTCAATATTTCTGAGATGAGGTATTATGTACACTATTTACATTATTCGGACTATCGTCCCCATCTTTGTTGCCATTATTTATCACAACGTTTCGGCCGTTGTACACTCCAGGTTTTCTTCAGGTGGTTGTACTGTCGAACGGAACCCTTTATTTCGTTGGATGGGGTTGACTGTTCTAGTTCCACATGCCATGTCTGATGGATGTCATTTATCAGTTATTGCTTGTTTTCCCCTCTCCAAGTTCTCCATTGCATTAACCAGGTATTGAACTCACAACTCTTTGGGTCCTATCACTGGATCTAACTAACGCCTTTATCCATTGTACTATGTGGTTTTGAGGTTCAATAAAGGGTTCAGTTCGACATTCCAACCACCTGAAGAAGGCCGGTGCGTACAACGGCCGAAACGTTGTGATAAATATGGCCACAAAGATGAGGACGATAGTCCGAACAATGACAAAATCAGTCCTTAAATGCAATGTTAAGAATGAAAGTTTCAGTTTTTGCATTTCCATTTATACTCATTCTATTACACATTCATTTACAGAATCTTGTTAGATGGTAATGGCAAAGATACTGGTAATATTAGATGTATCCTTCCAAGGAAACATTAGGTATACATTGATCGAGAAGCCAATGATACGAATGAAATTTATAGTAATTTTTTATTAAAACAATTTTACAGGAATGCATATTTCTCAAGTCCACTATTATTGTTATTTCCAGTATTGATTGGAGTTTCCTTCCTAGCCTTTCGTTTGAAGTAGTGTGGAAGATCAACATCTTGATTTTGACATTATTTTCTGTTCGAATTATATGCGTTATCCATTTTAGTTGTTTCTTCTGCTGAAATTCCTCAAGTGATGTGGTTTCTGTTATTTGGCAGTTCTCTGTGATTCCGTGGCACCAGAAGAAGAATGGTTCTCGCTAAGACCTACCGGCTTCATTCGCTCGAAGGCATTCTTGACAATTGCTCTGAGAAAGCGGATGTATATAGTTAACAGTTCAGATATTTATGAACGGGTGTGGCGTCATGCATGACATGCATATGAAAGTCTCGATGCAGATGCACGAGTCGAATTTAATGTCTTAGAACTTTTGTTCTAAAAGAACTTGATCTGTGGTGACCCCAATATGCACTGGGTTCACCCTAAGATATACCAAAGCAGGCTTTGCACTCAGTTGGGTACATCTGAATGTTGATCTGGAAGATGGCTTCATAGCCACACGTCAAACCGATGTCACCAATATGTAAACAGGTCGTTGACCAAATCTGAGCTCAAAATGTGTACACGTGCGACAACCTTCACCCCTAGGGGAAATGGAGATTCCTACACCGTAGCGAGGAAAAAGATCTATCTTTGAGGAAAGCTTTAAAGCAACACAGCTTTACATCTTTATAGATAGAGGAAATCCAGAAGTGAATGTATTATGCTCTTTGACGTCTTTCATTTGTTCACTGTATTCATTCGGTTTCATTTCTTTTTTTCCTTCATTCAAATGCTACATCTTTCGTTCTTTCATTTCTTTTTTTCTTTTCTTTTCTTTTCTTTTTTCTGACTCAGGTTCTTTTGTTCTTCTCTTTACCCTCCCTCCCTCCCGTTTTCCCACTCATTCTTTCTTTTGTTTTCACTTTCCCTCCTCCTTCCTCTTTAAATTCTTTCAGATCTTCTTCCTTATCTCTCCTCTCCTTGTTTTCTTTCTTCTTTTTATCCCTTTCTTCATTCCGCTAAGACTTTCTTCATCTTCTGTCCTGCGCTTTAGATTAACATTTGGGATTTAATCTGCAATGGATATAAACAAGTTATTTTTCAACTTACCTCCTCTTTCTCTTTCTTCCTCACCCTCTCTCTCTCTCTCTTTCTCTCTCTCTCTCTATATATATATATATATATATATATATATATATATATATATATAGGCAGGATGTGTGTGTGTGTGTGTGTGTGTGTGTAACGAATGCATAGCCGCAATTTTCTACGGATTTGCACCAAAATTTACAGCTCCAAGTTAGCCGAAAGGACAAGACTGACTTTGCATTTCCCAACTCCCATCGATAGTGGAAATAATCGATTTTTTTCATGCTTCTACGGCAGTTTTCGTGTAGTTTGTGGTAATTTTCTACTGGCCAGAGTAAGATCCTATAGCTGGATGCGACCAATAGGCAGGAAGATTCTATTGGCCAGCGTGAGAGCCAACAGCTGACTGACACGAATGTTAACTAGCATGCTAGCATGCAAAAAATCGGTAGGTGCATTCGTCACAAGTGGGAAAATTTAAATCTGCATGGCACTTTACTCTAATTGGCTCATTTGCATTCTTAAACTCAACGTTGATTCTGATTCCGCAGAATTTGGTTGGATGTGAAAAAGTATTTGTTGTTAACATTCTTTTTTCATTCGGTTTTTCCAGTCACGAGTCCTTTTTTTAAAGCTGATCGTTTTGTGTTCATTTTGTTTAGTTCTTTTTTCGTAACAGATTTAAGGTTTAGTTTTGAGATTAGAAAAATTCGCAGTGTGAAATAGGCAAGAAGTAAGGCATGTAGCAACATCAGCATGGCAAAGGGCACTCCTTTAAAGGCAAGGAAGGGCAAAAGTCCTAGCGATTGCTGTATGAGTCGTACAATTTTTGAATCAAGCACGGGCTACGCCGGGCCATGCTGCTAGTGTATATATATATATATATATATATATATATATATATATATATATATATATAACAGACAATGAATGTCTATTTTGTGTGATCATGAGCCGTTCTAATGTTCAAATATTTGCTATAATTTCTGGAGAAAATAAAGACAAAAATTGTCCAACATTTGGATTTTTTTTTATTATGTTGGTCCTAAACTTTCGACCTCACATGACCCATCCTCAGCGTGGTTATATAGACATAAAACAAAGATATCCACCGTTAAAGTTGATATTTTGTTATTTTGACATAGAAAATTGCTATGCGACGATAACGGTCGCGGAATAGCAGACGCAGATCGTAAGTTCAAGATGTGTTTCTAAGACGTCATATCACGCTAGTGACCGAAGTATTACAACAGAACCACTGTCTAGATGCATTGTAATGTGTTGCGACTAGTTTGAAATGTAATTTTGTTGAGTTTGGGTGGCTTCATTTTAATGTAGATGGCCTCCAATATCTGAAGCTTCTTTTTACTGTGTGTATGTGTGAGTATGATTGTGTTATCAACTAATATCTGTCTAATATATATATATATATATATATATATATATATATATATATATATGTGTGTGTGTGTGTGTGTGTGTGTGTGTGTGTGTGTGTGTGTGTGTGTGTATTTAGGCAGCAAATTCTTTTTTAGGCATGTCTAATTGAATAAATTACAAACATTATGTCTGCTTATTTTTATCATAATCCTTTTATACTCACGAATATTTTCCCGTATATTGCAAGTGAACGAGGTAAAAAAAATGCACTGTATCAGCGAGAATCACTTTTATTTCCTAAATACTTTGTAAGATGGAAGGTACTTGTAAAATAATGTTTTCGGAGTCGATTAAAGGATTATACGCCGGCTGAACGTAATGGCAACTCGGAGAGTCGCCTAGAACTCCATCAATGCCGAGGCTGCCATCATGCCACCATTTGTTTGGAATCTTCCAAAACTAAAGCTTATAAAATTATACTTGCAGTCGTCCATGACTCAAGACTCAGATTAAATTCTTTGGATATTTTGTCAGTAGGAAATGATCTTGTAAAGAAGAGAGGTGTACAAAGTGCTATAAAAATATTTGCAGATCTAAAGTCTAAAAATATTTTAGAGTAATGAATGTTTTCTTTATCTTGTATTAAGTTGTATATAAACGTGTTATACATTTGTAGTTTTTCTTACTAAAAAATTTAAAAAAATATTCGTACTCATACAAATTTTTAATTTATTCTACTTCCAACTAATGAATAAATATACTTTTCATATAATTAACTGTACACATATGCATAATAACTAAATATGCATAGAAAACAGAAGAAAATTGTTTTAATAGAAATAAATCCCATTTATCCATTTTAATGGGGGGAAAATGTATTTGTGCAATACAAAAAAGAATACGTAATCTTCATTTAATACTTTGTAGAATAGCCATTATTCACTTCTACAGCAACTCTTCTTGTAGTTCTCAATTAATGATTTGCAAATTTTAGTTCGTATTTTGTTCCATTCTTCTTCGTATATGGTCTTCAGATCTGGGATGTCTGTTGGAGCTCTCGATTGGATTTGAATTTTGAAATAACGCCACAGATTCTTGATTGGATTTATATCTGGGAACAGACTTGGCTATTTCAGGATATTTATATTATTTTCAACAAGACTTTTCCTCGTAGATTTTGCAGTGTGCTTAGGATCATTATCTTTTCGGAAGATCCAATCAGGGAAAGTTCAAGATTTTCAACCGAAATCATTAAATTTGCTTCCAAAATATTTTGATATTCTGCGACATTCATTCTACATCATTCTGATATGTTGCCAGTACCTTTTGCAGAAAAAAACATCTCCAAACCATGATGCTTCCGCCACAAAAGTTCACAATTGAAACTGTGTTCTTTTGCTTGAAGACATTGCCATCTTTCCTCCATACATGATTTCTAAAATTACGTCCAAACGACTCAATTTTGGTTTCGTCTGACTATAATACTTTTTCTCAATACGATTTTCCCTTATCCTTATGTTCACGAACGAAATTCAACCTGGCATCTCTGTGCCTTTTCAAGAGCATTGGAGTTTTCCGAGGAGAGCGTGACTTTAGACTGTTCCTATGAATTTCATTGTCCGTTTAGTGAAACAGATTCCTGATGAAAGCAAATCATCCTGCAACTCCTGACAATTAACCATTGGATTTTGTTTAATTTGAAGCAATAATTTCCTTGAAGATGTTGAAGAAATCAGCCGTGGAGCACCTGTCCTTCTTTGATTTTCAACATTTTTTAGTTTTTTATACTTTGCAGTGAATGAACTAATGGTAGTTAATGAAATATTCAGGTTGTCTGAAAATTTCCTGTAACTCCTTACCTTCTTTCCAGAGCTTAAAAATCAGTTCTTTTTGCAAATTTGTCAATTCTTTACCACTTGCCATGATGATAACCTTCTTGCACAAATATCAATTACAGAATGTTCTGTTTGTATTTTTTAGGCTAAAAATAACTACTGATAACATTATTGGAACATTTTAGAATATTCCACTTGAATAATCTAGAGTATTAAAACAACTTAAGGAGGTTTAAAATCTGAAATTTGCATTGTACGAATACTTTTTTAACACATTAGAATGAATAAACGGGATTTTTTTTCTATTAAACCGATTTTCGTCTGTTTTTTATGCATATTTAGTTATTATGCATCTGTGTACAATTAATTATATGAAAATTATGTTTATTCATTAGTAGGAAATACAATCAATTAAAAATGTGTATGTGTACGAATATTTTTCTCCTCACTGTGTACTTTTAAGGGCGCGGAAGTTCAGCTTGCCCGGGGTACCAGCAAAGCTAGGGCCGTCCCTGACTATACGGACAACATTTTACTGCGTCATCAGTGCTACGAAAAAGAGATAAAAGCGTTGGCTGGAGTAATCCAGGGACTTGACCCAAAGAGCTGAGTTCAATACCTGGCCACAGCAGAGTTGAAAAAACTTGGAGAATTGAGTTACTAAAGGCAGATAACTGAAACCGAGATATCCAGAAAAGGCATGGCACGTGAAACTAGAACAGTCTACCTCACTGAACTAAATAAAGGGTTCGGTTGACGATGACCGGAGCGTACCACGACCGAAACGTCGTAAACATGACAATAAAGACGAGGGAAACAGTAAATATAGATAGATACAAAAAAGGGTTGTTTTTTTGTTTTTTAGCTGAAAACTTGTCCTCTCCAACGGTATTATTGTGCTCGTCGTATATGTTGTAGTTTCCGCGGGAATAAATAGGAGGTATTACTTTCGGAGCACCCCTCGTATATTGCTTTTTTTTTCTCCACCTTCTTTTTATTCCATCTCTAGCAGCTGTCGTTTTATTTCGGTCTTCTTCCCCTTTATCCGAAGCAAAACGCTTGAAATACCGTAATGACCGTTAATCGCTGCTCTAATATCCGGCAATCAAATGCATGCTATTTACTTTTGCTTTCCTGATTGGCTGATATCATCTCAGTGGATTCTCTCCGCTTCTTCTCGCTCTCTGCCCGTTAACTACAGACTTACCCGACAAACGACGTCCGCCTGGGGTCCTCTGTCCACGTAACTAGCCGTACAGCTGGGAATAGTCGATCGAAATTTACCGTTGTTACGTGCATCAGCGCTTAATGCAATTTGACCGCCTCGGACATTTTGGACATGGCGGAAAACTTTTTAAATAGGATAAGTTCTATGGCGATTACAAGCAGAAATAACCGGTATTGTTAGGGTTCTTTTTTTTCCTTTTTAATCTATCTTTTAATCTATCGGATTTGCTTTAAGTAAGAGAAAAAAAAGAAAAGAAAAAGCTTGTACTTTATACTTAACTTTTAAAGACCGATATAAACAAAACATCGCTTGCTTCGGAAAAAAAAACGTCATAACTACAAAACGGTCCTCTTGAATTATCGAAGATAATCGGCCAGATTTCTAGATATTGAAGAATAAAGTGTTTCACATAAATCAATAAAAGATGAAATATTTTTGCAGGGTTAAAAATAAACAAAAATAAACAAAAAACAAAAAAAGGAAACGTAAAAAATGACATACTAAATAA